AGAGCGGGCCCAGCTTGCACAGCTCCTTCGCGATGTATTTGTTTGTTAATTTGGGCTCCCGTGGAGGTGGGTGCGCCGGAGGAGGCCAAAGAGATGAGTGGGGAATTTGTTTGGATGCATTTGTTGTTTCGTGCGAGGCCGCGTTGGGAGGCAGCAGGCGCAGTTCTGCTGCCCTGCGGAGCGCTGCCTCGCCAGTTTTCAGCGTGCCCGGTCGCTACGAAACGCCTGGATGCATCGGTTGTTTTGTTTTCCCTTTCGTGCGCTATGAACGAACCCCGTTCGAATTGGAACGGTGGCCGCAACAGGCTAAAGCATGTGGTTTATTTTGTTTTTTATTCTTCGCGCTGGGCGGGGGCGCAGAGCCCACGAGGGCACACGATCCGCTTCAGCGTTCACTTTGATTTCTGCTTGTGTGTGTTTGTTTTATTTATTACGGGCCCTGCGCGCGGCCGGTGCGCCGTGTGCGCTGCGTGGTGGCGGTGTGGCGTCTCCCTCGTGTGGGGGCTGCGGTGCGTTTCTCTCGTTGAGCTTGAATTGTAGTCATTGTTGTTGTACTTTCGTTTTTTGTGGTTTTATAATATATGACGGCCTGAGGTAGAGGTTGTTTTTGTGGTTGTTTTGGCAGTTTTGTCGCTGGTATTGTTGTGTGTTTGCAGAAATGTTGTGTTTTGTTCTTGTTCTTTCCGTTATGGTGATCCACTTTTTTTTTAATTGTGTTTGATTTGTTTTGGGTCGATGCGGGGCTGTTCATTTTCGTTTCATGTGTGGATTGGAGTGCTGGTCCTCTTGGAGCTCGGGCGAGAGCTTTGCAGCGCGTGCACTTTGGGTTCCGCAGTAACGGTGTGCAGTGAAAGTTTTTTTTTCGTCTTGGTTTATTCTTGGTGCTTAGGTGCATTGTGGATCCGCCAGGGTTTTGGCGCCAGTGTGGATTTTCATTCACAGATGGGTTTGCGGTGTTTAGTGGACAGGGGCTGAAGAACGGAGCTCCATGGCTGCCTCCATAATTCATTCTGCGTCGTTTAGCGAGCCACGTCGCCGACAGTCCACACCGTGTGGTACCTCATGGATTTGTCTTTGCAACGGCGTGTTCTTGGAAAACCAGTATTGCTAAAAAAAGAAAAAAAGAAAACGGGTAACTGTACTTGGGGGGGGGGGAATTGCAGAAGAACGCCTCCTCGCTTGGGGGCTGCGTCTTTGCCAGCTTGCCTGCGGTGCCAGGTGGTGCTGCTGAATGCGGGTCTGTTTGCGCAGCAGGGGTGTGATTGATGCGGCTTTGGGCTCAGTGCTGCCTGCTGCGCGTCGGCACAGTCCAGCACCCCGGCCGCCGGACACTGGGAAACGCTGCCCTTGAGTGCGGCCCGCCGGGGCGTTGGGCTGACGTTGTTTTGGGCGAATTGGCGCTCCGAAAGCGAGGCAAAAGGCAAGGCACGTAACGGAGGCCGCCTGCGGCTACGAGTTTGCGATCCCCCCAGCGCGGGGTGTCCTGAGGGGTGTGCGTCCCCCACCCCCCTCCTGCCCCGCACGCAGCCGTGCATCCGCAGAGACGCTTCACTTTTTTTCTTTTGGTTTTCGTTGCCGCCGTTTGGCGGCTGCTGAAGTTGTAAGAGGGCAAGGGGCGACGAAGAAAAGCACACAGAGAGGGAGAGAATTCTATATTTTTTTTTCTTTTTTCAAATACTCGTTTGTATTACTGCCACTATTCTTGCTGTCGTTGCTATCAGTTGACTGCATCTGCTTCCGTGTTTCGAAACATCCACTATGCGCGGAGGTGGGTGGGTTGCTCGGGGCGCCCTCTCCGTTACCCACATCCAGGGCTGTCTCACCAGCCGAGGGTGTTGCGCCATTCTCTTTCTCTCTCTCTCTGCATCCTACTGCCGTTGTTGCCGTCGCCGCCAATTCGGTTTGGTGTACCGGCGGTGGCTGTAGGAGGTGGGGGATGCTGCCGCCGCGCCCCGCTCACCGCGGAGGCTACCTTGCCGAGAAGGATTCCGAGCGCCGCCCGCATGGGGGGCTGCAGCCAACAGAATTATTATTGCCCCCGCACGGGCCGCTAAGGCGGGAAAAAGCACCGAATGAGACCAACAGCACATGTTCCGCGGTCACAGCTGCTGCCGGTGCCTTATCGTTGACCCCGCCGCCTCCTCTTCTCCCTTCCGCTTGCACCGTCAGTAACGGGAGTGCGGCATTGTCACGCTTGCCGGGCCGATCGGTGGGCGCCTGCACGCTCGCACCGCCCTCGCTGGAGATCTCTCATGATGTGTGGCTTGCGACAGGCCATCGCCACGGTGAGGCAGAAGCGCCAGCTGCCGCACGCCGCAGCAGCCAAGGCATGGCCGCCATTACCACTATGACAGTTGGGGGTGTAGACCTTGCCACTGTGCGTGACTCGTCAGCGGTTACGCTGTCAGTTACTGACGCCTACCAGGAGGCTCTTCTTTTGGTTGCCACGTATGCAGACGGTTGTGGTGAGAGTGAGGCGTGGCATCTGCGGCAGTGCCGCTGCACGGAGAATCTGCTGCGCTACATCATCGGACTGGAGCAAGAGAACGAAGTGCTGCGCTTGGCACTAATTGAAGGGTCGGAGCGACGCCTACGACGGCGGTTTTGCGGTGGCCTCAGCCGCGACGGCGGCTACGACCAGCAGCAAAACGATTTCTCTTCAGTCAGGGAGTTTTCCTCTAACCACCACCTGCAACAGCATCTTCTTCAGCGCGTGAAGGAGGTTGAGCAAAATGTCAGGAGTTACTTTCAGGACGAGTTGGAAAGGCTGCAAAAACAACACACAACCGATACTGCTGCTGCGGTGCAAGGTGGTACGAGAGGCGAGTCCTACGAGTCTACGCTTGCGCAGTCGGAGCGACGGCGTTGGAAAGAGCATGTGCGACACACGGTGGAGGAACTCACCCTGCTGCACCGCGAAAAGGAGAAGCAGGCCGCTGGTGTTACCGCGACATCAGTGGCGTTCAGGACAGAGGGGAGTGGTTGCCGTCATGCGCGGGATGGGGGTAACTGCGACAGTGCTGACAGCCGCATTGCCGTGCTGCAAACGGAGGTGGAGCACTGGAAGTGCGAGGCTGAAAAGGCACGGGCACACGCCAAATTGTACCAGGACCAGGCGCTGAAGGAGTTGCAGCACATGCATGCCGTCTACAGGAATGCGCTGGGAGAGGAGCGGTCCGCCTTTCCGGGCGCTGACGCAACGCCCCTGGCGACAGGAGGGATGGTTGGAGAGTTGACCGTGAGTGACGCGGCTCAAGAGCATACTGCAGACGAGGCTGCCGCCCCTCCTACTCCGAACCTCCTTGCCCCAAGCTGTATCAAGGAGGAGAAGGAAAAAAAAGAGACGTATGTTGAAAAGCAAGGTGACCAGGCAGCTTCCCGTGGCTTTCCTCGCCATACTTCTCCCCCGTTATCCCGCGCCACATCACGTGCCTCAGGGGGAGGCGAAGAGGCGGAGAAGCGTGCCGCGACCGCGCCTCACTTGTTTGATGCCACAGTGGGCCCAACAGAAGCGGCGGCGGGATCGCAGAAGTTGGCACGGCGGTCGTACCACTCCGACGTGTACCTTCGACGAGAGAGTGTCACCAACGACGAACGGGTGTCTGCGGGAGTGTGAGGAGGAAAAATGAAGAGTAGCACAAAGCCGATACCGTGGGGCTACTGGTATTAACACCTCCAATTCGCCCTTTTTTTTTGTTGTTGTTGTTGCCTTTTTGGGTTGGGGCTTCAACTTCTTTTATCTCCCCCCACTCTCGTATCTTCCTCCCCCCCCCCACCCCCCCCACCACACACACACACACAAACAAACACACACCCGCTAGGCGCTCTCATTGCCACAAACCAGTGATATTACTGTGATTGTCGCCTGGACGGTTGCGTGTCTTCTGCCAGTTTCCCGTCGCTGCCTCAGAGACTCCACACCTCGACCGCGATGTATGGAGTATCTCCGCCTCCCTCTTCCTTGTGGGGGAACCCGCGGCTGTGTGTGCCGCCGCTATCCGCCGTCCAGCCCGCAAGCTTACCCGGCGAGCGCGCCGGGATGGACGTGGTGGGAAACACCTCCTCCTTCCCGCCGGGAGGGAACGCACCGGACGCGAGCTCCGCAGGGAACGAAACGGACTGGCAAAGGAAGATGTCACCCATGGCGACAGCTGCCGGTGAAAAGGGGGAACCCAGCCTATACAGCTGTGGTGCTGACGCCTTACCGCCAGGTTTGAGTGTCATGCCGTCTTCAGTGGCGACTTCCCTTGCCCCACACGCCGCATTGGATGCATGCGTCGAGGCGTTTCGCGTGTACACTTCTGCGGCGCTTGTGCTTCCAGAGGAAAAAGCGGTTATTCTTTCCATGTTGGATGCCGTGGCAAAGTACACCCAGGCGCGCCTGCGCACCCAGAAAATCTTTCATGAGTGTGAGGCATGCTTGCACCAGGCCGCGCAGCTGCAGACCAGCATTAGTGCAGCGGCGGTAGCATTTGCCTCATCAACCTTGAGCAACGTGACGGATAACTTTGTGTTTCAGTCGCCGTTACCTGCAGTGGGTTTTACGTCAAGCACAGCGAACCTACAGCGGGGACGGGCCAAGGTGGACACGGATCTAGCCGAGTGTAGGCGGATGCTACAGCAGGTGGAGGCCTTTGCGCGGGCGTTTCAGGACCTGCAACGACGTCGGGCACGTTTGCTTGAAGGTCTTGAGGATGAAAAGCAGCGCCAGCTCCCACCACCCTCTCCTCAGTGTCACGATGTTGCGCATATGCCGCTTGCCGCGCCCCCTGTCTCCCAGCTTCACGCCACGCTGGAGGATTGCATTTCACAGCTGCACACACAGTGGGAGACGCACGTCACGGCCACTGCAAACAGTTTTGTATGCAGGCTGCACGGCACCCGCCCTCAGGAGAGCGGTGAGGTGCTCGACAGCAATGAAGGGGAGTTGGTAGATAACGTGCGTTTGCTCATGTCGCTGCTGCAGGTGTGCGACAACACGCTTGGCCGTGTGGATACGATGCGCAGCCGCATCAGTCGCCTTGGTTCGAGCCGCATTGAAGAAGCAGAGGCGCTTGAAAAGCTCCTTGCGAACATGGATCATTATGACCCGACCGCTGAGGAACACGCGGGACGGCGCAAGCAAATCGATGCGGAGTTGGAGGAGCTGCGGAGTTGGTTGACGCACATTGGGCAGCTTCGCCAGCGGGCGATGAGCACAGCAGAGTTGCTGCAGCAGTTTTTGCTCAACGAAAACAGGGAGGCTGCGGGTTCCGGGCGAACCTCCTCGTGCCTGCCGCTGCCCAGCGAGGGTGGAAGCGCACCGTCGTCGCACCGGCCATCGCTGGGGGGCCCGGCCTCCCTGGACGAGTGGCGGCAGGCTTTGATTGCGCCAGACACCGCCGCCGCGAAAGAGACGGGCAGACACGCCGCAGATGCCACTGCGGCTAGCGGAGACGCTAGCGCCAGTGCCGCGACGGATCCCGCCGCCCCCGCGTTGACTCCGGCAGACATCGCCTGCAAAAACGAGTATCCGACGTCTGCAGTGCCCACTGCCGCTGAGGGCGTGAGCAACGCGGAGGACAACTCTGGCAGCGTTGCCTTGCCGGGGCCACCCAGGAGTGCCGCCGCTGTGGCTGAAGACTGCAACACGAACACGGTGCCGGAAGGGAAGTGCAGGCACGGCCCTGCAGGGCTGCAGCCTGCTCCTGGCGACGCCAGTGGAGATGATGATGGGGATGACGACGCGACGTCTTCATACCACGCCAGCGCCTTTGACGAAAACGACAGTCGGGGGCATGTGGAGAGTGGCGCCCGCTGTCGCCGGCGACGAAAGCGCCCCGCCGCTGCGGGGTACTTGGGCGGCATCGCAGCGTTTGCCAGAGCGGTGGTGCAGCGGGCCACGCGGTTCAGTGACTCGGAGTACAGCTCCGCGAGCGACTGCGAGAGCGAGACGGAGGGGCGACGCCGGCGACGACTTGAGTGAATGAAGTTCCGCACGCGAGGGGAAACGCTGGCAGGTGCACACTTGCACACAGAGAGTGAGGGAGCGGGACGGGGGGCATTCGTGTCGTATGGCGGGTGTGCGCCCTGACGGATGGAGCTGGGACGCAAACAGCCGTAAGCCACACAAGAAGACATCGAGGGAGAGCGGGACTGTGTGTCACTCCTTTAGAGTAAGTGCAAGGAGCGGGAGGAACTGGGTGGGGAGTGGCGGCAAGCGAGGGCGCGAGTGGAGAAGAATCGAGGCGCACGCACGCACACACAGGCACAACAGGGAAAAAAAAGGAAAAAAAAGACATGATAATATTAGAGATGCTTCGTTGTTTGTTTGTTTTTGTTTTTGTTTTTAAAAGACTGCAGGCATGCAGGCGAGGAGACGGCGGTGCATCACATGAAGGCAAGACGCCCTAAAAGGGGGGCAAGGAAAGGAAAGATGAAACGGTACACATGTCTTATGATGTGTTTTGTAAATGAGTGCCCGCATTTGTGGATCGGGGCCCGTCCACATTTTCTGCGAATCCACTCATCGTTGCTTCTATGCTTTTTACTTGCCTTTCTCGCGCTTTTGCTCTTTTTCACTTCTTCCGACTCGCGGGACACTGTCTCTGTCAGCTTGAGCCAGTTCGCCGGAACACCACCCCACTGAGCCCCCGCACGCTCTCTCTCTCTCTCTCTCACACACACACAGACTCTATGAAGCGAAGGGTACTCCGCGCACACGCGAACAAACGTCGTCTTAGGCTCATCAGCGCTGAGCACGGACTTCGACTTGATGCGTACAGTATTCTTTGCGACGCCTCGTTTCTGCGCGCGTTGGTTCTTGCCGAGGGCGCCGGCGACCGTTCCCCGGCGCAGACACTGAAGACTCTCATGTATGACACCTTTGCGGCTGCTACTTCGCATGGATGGAATGAAAAGGACACTGACAACGCCGCTGGTGCCGCACAGGTGCGGAAACACAAGGATCTGAGTTTTGCAGTGCACTATCTGCCGGAAACAGCCATGGCGCTTCGTCGAATGGCGCAGCAGCAGCAGCAGCCAGAGGAGCGGGAAACTGCTTCGGCACCACGCAAACGGAACGGAAATGAAGGGAACCTGAGACAACCTGCGGTACGTGAACAGAGCCGGCCTCTTCTTTCGGTGGTGGAGTCGCTTTTGGCAGGATTGGAGTGCACTGGGGGCGGGGATTCCTCAGCCAGTAGAAATGAGGCCAAGGCGATAGCTCAGTTTGTCGCGGCGGGGTCAGTTGAGAGCCGCATCCCACACGCGGCGCAGAAGCGGAAAAATGCTCACTTTTTTTTCGTTGCCACGCAGTCGCACGACGTTCGCCGGCTGCTGCCACGCAACGCCGCTCTCATTCGCCTCACAACTTCTCCCACGGCGTTGTGGATTGAAAGAAACGGCGACGCATTCCACTACGGCGTGGACGGCGCTAACAACACCTCTGGCCAGGAGGCGGCCGCGGCAACGGGGGGGAAAATGCTGTCTGCAGCAGACGTGGCTTTCATGCGGCACCTCTCGGCGGACCTCCTGCCGGCCGCGGGGGTGAAGAAAAGGCGCCGGGCGGAGTCGAACAACGCTGCGGCGAGGATATCTGAGGTCACGATGGCCCCGCATCCAAAGGCGACGCCAGTGACAGGCCACAGGGGCGACATGGGAGGAGGGGGTGCGAAGCGGCCTAGAAGGAAAGCGGCAGGCGGGCCAAACCCGCTTGCGGTGAAGAAGAAGCGTGTTCGTGAGGTGTTTCGCGTGGATTCCGGGGTGTCGAAAAAAACGAAATGAATGAAACACTGAGAAGGGGGGTGGGGAGAATGGATGTAGTTGCTGTTACTGCGGAGGGCCGATGTCTCTCTCCCTCTTTCTTTCTTTCTTTCTTTTCCGTGCTTGTCGGTGCATGATGCTTCCATCTCTTGTGCTTAACAGGCCTGGGAACCGGGCCCATAACACGTGAGGAATGCCGCGCGCACTCTCGCTGTGAAGGAAAGGGGGGCAAGTATATGCATACAAACACACAGCTGCGTATGCAAGTTTTAATTTCTCTTTGTTGTTATCTCCTTGTATTTCTCTCTCCCTGTGTCTTTGCTTTCTGGAGGAGGGAAGCCAACGGAATTGAGGCAGGCACACCATCAATATTCGTGCAGCGTGTTGCGTGGGGAGAGGGCAGGCGATAAAAGAGCAGCTGCAAACAAAATTCATACGTGGGACAGACTCTCTCTCTCTCTTTCTCTCTCTTTGAGAGAGGGATAGAGACAAAGCAAAGCGGTTCGCCTAGCCGGGGTGTGTGAAGAGGGATGCGACGCGAGGACTTACTGCAGGCGTTGCTGGTCCGCTTCGTGAACCCGCAACGGGAGGAACAGGATTGGCTGCTGCTTGCGGCACTTTTTTATTCCCTTACGAGGCTTCTGCTGCCCGCCAAGCGCATGGAGCAGCTGTACTACAAGTACCTCCAAATACATGGCAGCTGTGCTGCGATGAAGTCCGCCTGCAAGGCGTACGAAACCCAACTCGAGGAGCGGCTTCGGCAGTGCGTGGCTGGTGGCGGAATTCCTGCCGCCACAATGGTGACGGGGGCTCGTTGCATGAGCATCAGCTCCCCACAGACCTCGCGTGGTACTGGAATTTTAACGCCGGCCACTCCGACGGGGGTTTCTGCTCCCGCAAGTGGCGCTGGTGGCGCAGACGGCGGGGAGTGTGGGTCGTTGGCGAACTTGTTTGCCCCGTTGCCGTGCGGCGGGGGAGGCGGCGTGAACGATGGCGGCTTTGCGGGGGGGGAGGCGCTGCAGCAACTAACCCCAGAGCGGCGTCAACGCTGGCGTCGTCTGCGGCACGAATCCATTAGTCCCGACGTCCTCATTGCCCTGGTGCAGCAGTTTGCCCTGGTGGAGGGTGCGGCGGTGTTTTTGGCGCCGGTACATCCCTCGACCATTATGGAGTTTAACGGGGCCCGCTCGGGACCGTATGGCACGGTTATCATGCACCCGCTTTCGCTGATGTGCATCAAGCGGAGGGTCTTGGCATCCCGAAGAGACTACGAACTACGTCAACCAGAGAAGCGGGATGCCGGAACCGACGCCTCTTTGGACGGAGGAAATCTTCGGACGCGGAAGCGTGGGCGTGTGGCGGCGGCTGCCGCTAATGAGAAAAACGAGACCGCGCGTAGGAAGACGCCAGCCGACATCGGCGACGACGACACGGGTGCGATTAGGACCCTGCAAGATCTTGAGCAGGCGGTGTGGCACATTGCCGCCAACTGTGTGGTGTTTAACGCCCCCGAGTCCTACTACCCTTTCACGGCCAGAACCTTTGCCGTTGCTTGCACGAAGATCATTGAAGAGTATTGCATGCAGCGCGTGCGTGACACATGAAACGTTATATGTGATTCCTCGGGCGCAAATTGGAGGGTTGAAGGGCCCCCGCGGAAGGAAACAAGGACAAGAGGCTCAAGAGGAATGCCGGCAAGAAACAAACCCCCTTCCAAAAAAAAAAAAAAAATAGAACAATGAAAAGTAGAAAGTAATTTGTTTCTGTGTGTTGTGGGGGGAGGAGGGGGGGTGATGTTGAGTTCTCGCATGCGTCCTTCTTTTTTTCTCTCCCATTGAACTCCTCCATCGCATTGTCACGTTTTGCGTTCGTCTCGTTTTTTTTTGTTTTCGTTTCTTCTCTCTACGCGTATGCGTGCGGGCGCGTGTTTCGCGGGCGCCGCCGGGGGGAGAAAACAAAAAAAAAAGAGCAGGAAAAAACAACGTAAAAACAGCCACACTAAAAGCATCATTAGTCACTCTCATAAAACGAGCTGGCAGAGCGGGTATGCCGTATTTTCGGGTTTGCCTCGACGCGGAAACGGAGGGAGTTGTGGCTATTCGGCCCGTTCGGCCTCGGATTTGGGGGCTTAAGTTTGATTGCGGCAGTTGCCGGGAAACCAGCCCGCACTTTGTCTACGTGGACGAGAGGGAGGAACGCGACAGCGGCGGCGGGGGTACACGCAACGCCGTCTTCAAATGCGCCTTCTGCAAGGCGGTCCTGACGGCCACGATCGACACGGAAAGCTACGGCAAGTACACCCCTGGCGGGGACGGCGGCGTCTTGCTGATCGAGGTGCGTGGCGCATCCCCGGCGGAGCTCGAACTGGACAATCAGTGGGTGGTCGAGGCGGAGGGCTCGGCCTTTGAGCGGGTCGACCTAAGCGAGGATTGGGTGGACTACGACGAGGCTAGCGGCGCGCCCGCCAGCGTGTCCGGCGTTTCCGTGAGGTTTGAGCGGGCAAAGGGGACGAAACACGGGTAGGCGAATGCGCAAAAGAAGCACGGGGCACCAGCGGGACGTTTTGGTTTTCCACATACACTCCTTTAAACATTTCGCTTTTTTTAAAATAAAAAAAAAACGTGATCCTGCTAACACGAAATGGGGTGGTATTTGTTCTTTTTTTTTTGCTCCTACGTCCTTTGCTTTGCTCCTCACTCGCTCTTCCGATTGTCCACAACAGCGGCCGAGAACTCACGCAAGCCGGGAGCGTAGCAGCCGCGAACGGACTCCCCGCCACGCCGCCCCCCAACACACCGCCATGCCTGCTGCCTTGCGACTCTCTTGCTGTGTAGCCTGTGGGTTCCTTCGCCGGAGAACGAGAGGAAGAGGAGACCGCGGTGCACGGGAGGAAGAGCAGGAGAGGAGCGAGCGCCAGTGAAAGCGCACGGTGTCACACGCGCGGCCGCCAACGCACCCGGCGCACGCAAAAGCAACAAACGCAACGTGAGCAAAACTCGTGGGCAAATGGGCCTTTGGGAAACGAAGCGACCACAGCGCCCGTTCCGCCTCAGGAGCGGACGCCAAGAAGAACACGCACCGCCACACACCGCACACGTGCCCCTTCACGTCCGTCCGCCAATGTGAACCAGCGCTTGCGAAGCGTAACGCAGAGGGCCGCAAGAGTTAACGCACCCGCGTTCTGATGCCTTCCGCCCCCGCACGGCCCGCGGCCCTACCTTCC